TATATATATATATATATATATATATATATATATATATATATATATATATATATATATATATATATATATATATATATATATATATATATATATATAGTTACGGTTTTCCTTACTGTAATTTCATTTAGTTGGGCTAAGAATAATGATGCCATAACTGATCAGCCTTTCGGCATACAAGTACGTAATGTTCGATGCGTGAAATGTCACACATGGGGACATTTGAACACAGATCGTGAATGCCCGCTATACAATATGAGTGGGAACTTCGAAGATCCCGGATGTAAGTTTCTTTTCTTTTTTCTGATTCATTTTTGGCGCAGGGAAAAAAATCTTTGTTCCTCTTTCTCCATCAGCGGCCTGAATGAGGACGAATGATTTAGTTAAGCGAGTTTCGTTTTACGTTCTAGTAATGTGGAGTGTCTAAAACAGAGCACATTTCCTCTGATGCAAACAACATGCAAACAATTTCATTTTATTTTCAAATTTTTTGTAGGGAACTAGAGATCAGCAAATTTTATTTTGTGTGTATATGTATTACTTTAGGTGGCTCTGTTTCAACAGTTTCTGCATAGTTAACTTTCTAGATGCAAACAATCCATCCGATTTGTTCAAACAACTGCAGAAGGACCGTACAGAAGGGAAAGTGTACGAAAAAACAAGAGTGGAAGTACTCAAAGGTCGACCTGCACATGTTGTTACCGCTGTAGATGATGAAGAAAACGAGGAACAGTGGGAAGAGTTGACTTATGATCAACTAGCAGAGAATATGAAAGAAGAGCATGGATTGACCCTAAAGAACAACGTATTCCAAAATATGCGTGCTGAGGAAAGGATTATGGTATGTTATATTAAATAATATATGATCACCATTATCTTAATAGAAGAGTTGTTTAATTGAACAGTTTGATGATTGTCATCACTTACTGCTTTCGGACGATTCTTATAATTTCGGTTCGGTTCTGTTGAAAAATGTCATTCATTATCTCCTACACTGAAAAATATTATTAAATTATTGGGAAGGTCTTGTCGATCTGCGTAAAATAAGATTACAAAAAATTGATCACCATAGAATAAGATTGCAAAAATCATCCTTACATTGGATTACTTTATTAAAGCTTTGCTGTTGCTTCTTTTAAAAATGTTACGTAGATACATATCCGTCATTTACAGTAGATGTTGCAGAACATGGGTTCAAGTTCAGAGCAAGAAAAAATGGTAGCATTTTTCAGTACTCTCAGCGAAAAAGAAAAACGTAAATTAGCAAAGTAAGTTTTTATTGTTTTTTATTTTATTGAAGAATGATATAGAATTGGTATGGTTCATGTTGCTGAGCCTCAATTTATATTTTGACTGACGAAATGTACTGTGGTTCCATTTCTTAAAATAAAAAAAAAGCTAAACTGACAAAAGTCAGTTTATCATACAGGATGGTTTTATAGACAACTGCTGTCAGCAACAAGTGAAAAACATGGCAAAAAGAAAAAAAACGAATGAAGAAATTAAAATCTGAGGAAAGTGAGAAAAAGAAACATCGAAAGCGAAAAACTGGTTAGTTTTTGTACTGTTAGGAATAACTGTGTAATTTTTACTGTCCTAAATGTTTATGCCTCAAACATTAAGAAGTTCTAAACAACTACTTTTTTACCACTGGTTGTTTAAAATCTCAACGCGTTTGCCTTACTGTTAACCGTGCCTTAAAGAGTGCACATGTGCTTAAGTTCTAATGAAATCTTAGCCTTCAATTCATCCTCATTACTCAGATTGTTACTAATTACCCTGTAATGAATGATGAAGCATGGCGTGTTAAATGATACTTTCGTTACACTCATTCGGAAATTCTTACAAATTATCTTTGAATCAAAGCTTCAGAAGAAAATTGATAACTTCAAAATCATATATGCTCTCCAAATCCTTCCCAAAAGCATTTTAAAGCTTTTAAAATGCTATACTTTTATTCTTTTCAAGGTTTTGGTGAGCGGCCGATGTCAAGAGCTGTTCACGATGAAAAAAGGGAAAGAGTTGAAAAAGAGGGAAAACAGAAATCTCAAATTGGTTTGAATGGAAAAGCAGAATTTGGAAGCACAAGGCAACTGAAAATTTCATTGTCAGAGTCAATGAACAGAGTGGAGAAGACAAGATATCGAAGTCGTTCGCCTTCGCATCATAAGTACTACCGTGGTCATGATCGGTAGGAATTAGGAAAAAAATTATAATGAAATATTTTCTTTGATAAAGAAAAGGAAACATTTTTTAGTAAGGAATTTTTTCGTAGGAAAATATTTTGTTCTCCGTAACTCTCTTTCTATGAAATTGAAATTTTCATGAAATTTTCAGTGGCGTTTGTAACGATTCCATAAAACCTGAAAGAAATAACCTGTATTCTTGAAAGTTGATATTAAAGTATAGCTTGAATCAAACAATGTGATAAGACCATGGATAGATATGTTCAGACTATGAATAAATCTCTCTTAGGCCTATAAAAGATTTTCTCATTAAAACACTTGAGTTAGATTACTTTATCTTCCTTTCAATGTGATATCTTTGAAATAAGTGTTCAGGTCCCATCATCACAAGCATACTCGTGCAAAACGGTGAAGGGATTTGCGCATGCTTCTCAAGTTGTCCCTGATTTGGTACGTTGTTTACTGCGTTCTGGAATTCCTCTGTGATAGTGATTGATAGGCGTTCAAATAATTTTCCTACGATTACGTGAAGACTTCCAGCGAATCCATTGGTCAATTAGCAAAAAGCTTGTGTGATGATAGAATTGAATTATTTGCAGCTTAAAGCATGATTGGATAATTTTCTTCTCGTTTCTCTAAAAGATCCGGATGCATCATTAGAGTTCTAATAGCATCGGAGTTTCTCGAGGCAGTTTCTATATATTCTCTAGGCCTTGTCAAAGGCTGAGTGTGCTTTGTATTGTTGATGACTTTTGCGATTTGTTGCTGTCTTCTGCATGATATAAATAAAGATGAGCAGATTTTACTGCAGGCTTACTTAATTATCAGTTGACTTTTTTTTTTCTAATGCTTCTTTAAAGTTTCCGTTCTTGATTCATGTGAATTTTTAAATCGAATCTGCTTCAAGCTCTGTTGAAATTTTGGGACAATTATTAGCAAGCAATTTGTAGTTTGGCGAAGCTTACGATCTTATTTTCGTACTTCGACTTTTTTGGTGAAATTTTGAGCGTAAGCATTGGTTCTAATTAAAATTTGTTGCTTTCTTGACAAATAGACCTTTTACTAAGGCTTGTGCAAATGGCATCATACTGCTGAAGTGTATAAACATAACCGAGTCAAAGCAGACAAATCCCGGAAGACTAATTCCAAAAATTTGTGAAGATTTGACATGCTAAAAGATGAGTCCTTATGGGTGCAAAACAAGAATTGTGAGGAAGGCTACACAGATGGAAGAGCTTAAGAATACGAATGGGTGAGTGTATAGAAAAGAGAGCCCGATTGTGGTTTGGTCTCATCAGTCAGGCCTTGTTCAGCGCCAGGCTTGGTGAGCTCAGCTAAACTGAATCAAACAGCAATTCAGTGCTTTTTCGTTTCCAGTCTTCCCGTTGCGTGGATATGAGATGAGCAAGCCTAGCGGCAGTAGTTGTGCTGCTGGGTCTGACTGCTTCCATTATTGCTGCTTCGTCTATAGAGCAGCTAATTAAGCTAATACTGCTTCCACAGAAGAGTAACAAAATCGATTCTAATTTTGAAATTTGAAAACCGAGAAGATGGTGGAAGGAGGCATTATTCTTGTCAAATATTTACTTTTTCTTGCTAACTTCATTTTATGGGTAAGTTAATGGTCGAACATTTCATCTGCTTATTTCAAAATAGTTTATTATGCTATTATCTTGTTTTACATTCAGTTTAATCTACATTGTGCATGTGACATTTACAATAAGCTTTACTAAGTGCTTGTCTGACACAGCACTGAATCTTCTATGCTTAAAAAATTTGGTAGCTAATTATGTCTGAAGTAAACAAATAAATTAATGAGATGATGTTAATAAGTAAAAAGGTCAAATTTGTTAGGGTAAATCACAAGGCGGACTTTGAGCAGACCTGAGTTTCGAATAAATGTCACATTTAATTTTGGGTTAACTTTAGCCTACTCCAACTTTTCTCATATTTAACAGATGGACTCAAATCTGTGAAACTCTGGGAATCGAAAAAGAAATTCTACTTGCAACTAAGCCCACGACTACTAGATATTCTTAAAGCTTCCTTTAAGATCAAATTTAATTTGCAAATGGTTTTGTTTTTACAATGCGTAATGAAGTTTTCTTAAAAGAACAGCGAAAAATTTACAGAAATTAATGTATTTTCCAAGAATAGCTTAATTTATGAGAAATTTCGAATAATGAAGAGGTACAGAGTAATTATGATGGCAATGAAGTAAAATTTGGAAAATTCAATTACATATCAGAATAAATTGTATTTCAAAATCAAACCTAGAATGGAGATCTAAGCGTGAAGAACTGATGTGTAGTAATTTTTTCAGCTGATAGTTTATTTCATTTATGAGATGCTGTCGAATGGGAATATTCCTTGTTAAATTATTCTCATCACACAAATGCTCAAAAATTGATTTAGAACAGAGTTCCGAATTTCTGAGCAATTCACCTGGCACATTTTCATTTGATGTATGACGATAATGTTGTGAACATCCGAAATTGCTCATTTTAGGATGTCCTTGTATAAAGAATCAGTATTACCATTCAAAACAGGGGAATGATTTGTTTTATATCAGAGTGATTGAGGCAGAATTGCGTCATTCAGACTTATGCATTCTTATACATGTGTATGATAGATAGATCTTTTCGTTCTAGTTTCTTTCTTTATATGATAAACGGAATTCAAGCCCTCTGCAATGTCAATTCCTTTATGAAAAGTTCTGTTACAGACCTGGATCATTAATTAATCACTTTAGTTGATGCAGTTAATTTACTGATATATTAGAAAGATAAAAGATCCAATTTTAGAGGTTTTTAATGATAACGAATAACAAATTAACTGTTATAAATGAATGAGTGGTCATCTCAAATAGAAGATGAAGATAAGTCTTTCTGGAATGACACATTAAAAGAGTTTTGGAAGTATCAGAAAAGACACTTCATGCCATCAATTTTATGGTTTCAAAATTTCTATATTGTAACTTCAGGTAGGTGGCCTCGCTCTGGTAATTGCCGGTGCAGTACTACAATTGAAGTATACCGGTTTACTGGATATATTGGGGGATGAAAGATTAGCTACACCAATACTATTGTTTGCTACCGGTGCACTGTGCTCTATGTTGGGCTTTTTGGGATGTTGTGGAGCAATCCGGGAGAATTACTGCTTAACAGTAAGCTTCGCTGTGCTACTGACTCTGGTACTGACGATTGAAACGGCTATTGCTATCGCTGCTTACGCGTTACAGGAACCGCTTCAGGTGAGCATTTTTCGGAAATTTCGTAAATTCTACAGGGAGATTATCCTTTTTTGGTATCAGTTTTCATTCACGAACGAAACAGTTCCTACATTATCTGTTCAATCAGTTTGAGTGCATTTGAAGGTTGACGTATTATTGCAAAGCTTTAGGCTTCTTTATCACAACAGCTAACACTGGGTCTGCAGAGGTATAACCGTTCAGCAGGTGTTCGAATGGCATGGGATCAAACTCAAAAACAATTTGCATGTTGTGGAGTGCACAATTATACAGACTGGAGTACCCCGCCAGATTCATGCTGTATTCAAGTTTTACCTGGTTGTCGACTAATCCAGCAAAATTTACAACCTTCAGGTATATAAAATTTTTCAAGGATCAAGTTTTCCTCCCACAAATTAAAGAAGTTTAATTTTTGAAAACTGTTGAAATTCTGAACCAACGTCATTCTCGACTGAAGCGAAGTACCACTTAAGCGATAACGATTTTATTTGAAAACTTCTTCATTGAAAAAAAATTTCAATCTTAAAAAACCTCAACCCAAAAATCTCGACATTCTATCAAAGGATTGGATGAGTAATACATTGTTATCAAATAAGACGGGATAGGAATATGCTAAAAGTCAAGAATACCCGTTACATATGCAATAAGACCAATTGGTCCAACTTACTGTTTTTTCATAGAACATCTGATGACTTCCGACCTGAACTTTTCAAGGACATCACGCATGACACGCATTGCACTGAATGATAAGATACTCTTGATGAAGACATCAATATATGAAAGTGTTGTTTCTCTTCCGATGCATACTTCGAACGTGAAAAGGAATACCTTTGTTGTGAAGGTTTCTTAAATGCATATATATGTTATTTTAGGTTGCATGGAGCGTTTGGAGCATTGGCTCATCCTGAATGCGGCATTGGTTGGAGGATTTAGCGCCATCGTTGGCTCGTTACAAATAATCGGGATTTGCTTTGCCTGCTGCTTGTCCAAATCAATACTCAAAGACTTTCATGATTCCTATTATTAACTAATATTAGTGGTGTAACATTTCGTCCTTCACCGACGATCTTTCCTTTAGATGATTGCATTGTCAAAGACTTTTGCGCTTCACCAAAATTTTATCAAATATTCTACTCTTCCTTATGCGTAACACATAAACTCAACATAAGTATACCATAAATAAATTGTATACGAATGATTTAACATATATGCAGATATGATTTGAAAAACTCATTTTAAAATATTGTAACGTATTTCATAAGTTTGTTAATTCCAGCTCCCAAGTACTAAAACTATCAATAAACGAATTACAGGAAAAGTTGCAGTTGGTTTTTAGCTGAAAAGAAAATTAATTACTCGAGACGAATTGAGATCCTATTTGTTAGTGCTCAAAAAATGCTAAGCTGTGAAACTGAAGTAATAATAACTAATGTCTGGAAACCTTACCTCAGAAAAGAGTTGACAGATGAATGCTCGCAATTATGAACAGAATGAAATCTGAGCAGCAAAACCACCCAAACTTCAGCACGACCTAGTTAGCAGTTGAAATATGATGCAAGAAAAGGACCAGCAGGATTAATTCCCAGGATTAACTTCATCCCTCGGATGTAATTTAATTTACGAATGGTATAAGCTGTTATAATGTGCACGATAAAAAAGACATGAATTCATTTTTTTTTTCTTTCGATAATGTATTATTTCTTGAACATTTCATAAGTTCAAGTGGAAAATCACTGTATAAAATAAAAATTACAAAGATGGAGCAGTGGAGCAGTAAAATGTGTATTGATGATAGAGAGAAATATATGAAACACCCTGCTTGATAAGTGGAGAATAAGCATAACAGTAATAGTGATAACGATAATAAACGGAAAATACCTTGGATAGAGCTGTGTCATTGTCAATCATTTAATATGTGCATTTGTATTCAGGATGGGCCACTCTTCGACATTTGTCTTCGTGGTCATTTCTGTTCATAGTTGACCTTCTATGCCAATGTTTTCATTTTGGATGGCTCATCCTGCACACGTAGAAAGCAAACGATAAAATGAGAAAATATGGCACAAAACAACCTTCAAACCTTCAAATTAGCACTGTTGTAATAGGCAATAAGAATAAGGATATTTTTGGCTGAATTCCCCAATTCTATTGGAATATGACAGTACGCCAGAAACCTTCGGCAACTTATCTTTTCGATATGCAACACTGACAGGTGACAGGTTAATGACAGAATTTTATTAACTCTTAGGCAAAATATTCAACTTTCTATTTCCTTATCCATTCCAGTAATTCCATCTCTTACTGTCTAATTTGATAACAAATCATTTAACTAATTTCTCGCGAGGAAATTAGAATTTGTCAACAGTTGACAGAAAAGCAAATATGAATTTACAAAATATAATTTTGCCTAAAAACAACAAACTATCAAGTTAATAAAAAAGTTGTTACATGCCTTCCGAGAATTGTATTGGCAGAAGGAATAATAAATCCACTAATATACACAAGCTTGCATAGCAAAACACAGTTAGGTACACGAAGACAATCGATGAAATTGAAAACATGGCTTGATAGATAGAACCATTCAGTAACATGTATCGTGTTAAAAACTTCAAATAAGCCGAGATGATAATGTTATGGAGAAATATTCATTGGTCAAAACACAACATCCCAATTAAAAAGTTGAGGTTGCCATCACTTTTGCACTGAGAACAATCTGATAATTTTGACGAAAAAATCCGTTATGTTCCATGATCATTTTCAATTTTCTCAAATCAGGAGCGTTGGTAGGTACGACCTGCCAATTTTTTAGATGTGGGATAGCACCATCAAAATATGTTTGTTCATCATATCTTTGACATTTACTCTACTGGAACGTCTAATTTAAACAAGCCATGTCTTTTTTGAAAAATGAAAATAGGTAAGCATATTACCACAAAGCTAGCCATTAGCAAATAGAAAAAGTGATAAAATTTGAATAATTTGTCATGAGAAACCTAGAACCTTCATAACAAAAAAGACTGCTTAAAGGAATTCCGCATGTCTTTAGAAATAGCTATTTGACTATGTAAAAAGTGGTACAGTTTTATTCATTTTAGCAAATCTTTCCACCTCCCCTTCTCATGCAATCACATAAGGATGGGTTCATAGTTTCATTTGAAAATGAATTAGAAAACGACTATTCCAATAGCAGATTGCAGAAAATCTGTTCTACTCCTTTTTGGTCCCTGCCAATTCAGAGGAATATTGCTCTCTAAAGATAACAAATGACTTCGGATGAAATCAAAACTTTTTTCATATGAAATAATTTCATACCAAGTCATCTATCATGTTTAGATAGCAGTATTCCCTGAATTCACAGGGATCAAAAATTTCTCAAGTTCTATTACTTCTCTACTCACCGCAATACTCCTTAATACCTCTGAAACAGTTTTAAAATAAATGAAGCAAAACCGCGAACTGACATTTCGGACGCAGCTGGTTTCCTGCAACTGAACAATTATTCTTCCACCCTTCACTTTCCCTTCCCTACTCCTCTCATTCACCTTAGAGAAGAGATCAAAACCTTGATCTTACGGATAAAATATTGGAAAAATATGGAAGTATCTGAACTAAATCTTTTTAATTTTGACTTTGGAAAATTCCATGAATACAATGAGAAGTATAGAAATAACAGACATCAAAAAAAAAACTATAAAATTTTCCGTACAAATCACATTTTGAATGACTTTTCTGAAATGTTAAGTTAACGGTAAATTATTAGCAAATTCCAGGATGGAAGTGTTCATATAGAGGTTAGTATGGTGAGGATGCAGGCGGGACAGAAGAGCTATCTGAACCCGAATTTCTAATGAACGATGGTTGGTACTTGAGATCGGCCGTGTACAATCCTGGCATATGCTTGTGAATAACTACTCAATGTTTTACTGCTACATACCCATACAGCACATGTTATGCCGACCACAAGTTGCATTAAATATTTGAAAAAATAAATCAATAAATCTGGTGGTCTAACGTCTGTTTGTGGCACACACGTTTGACGTGGTTGCGCAAAACCAAAAGCAGCGCGATCAGGACGCGTGCATCGGATAGCCAACCAATTAGCCAACCAACTTTCCATCATAAATGCTTCGTAGACGATGCATGCAGCACTAACCATTGTTGGAAGGGTATACATGAAAGCAAATGCTGATATGCGGAGCATAAGTTTTTCCAATTTCCGAATATTCTGGTCAATATCGCTATGCTTGAATTTGATGTAACGGCGTATCCGAAGCATTGAAATAATGCCGCATCCCAGCAATAATAAACCAAGTGCTATAATTATAAAATCAAGTAGGATTTCAACTCTAAGACTAATTTTTTACAGACATCAGCGATATGTATTACTGTATGGCAAAGAAAGATTTGGTTTAAGAGTTAAAAATTTTCATTTTAATTCTACTCAACGTGAAATAAGATTTTAACTTACATCCTTTAGAACTGGAGAGTCAGGACTCTATACCAGAACTACCGGTAAAGGTCAACAGGAGGAAATCTAGGATATCAATTTAACTTTTCAGCCTTAGTCAATAATATGGATGTAAATATTGACTCAAAGATGAAGTTGAAAAACGCGGGTGGTTTCAAAATCTTTGAAATATGCATTGAAATGCAAAGAAAAGTGAAAACCACTCACCGATGCATACGAATATTGGCACAAAGACAAAATTGAAAAGTGCGGATGGTCTCAAATTCCCTACTGAACAAATTCCTGTGAATAGATCACCATCGATAGTATTCGTAACAAGAATAATAATTGCTAAAAATGCTGGGATGCCCCAAGCAAGAACATGAAAATATGAAGCTAAGCTTTCAATTGATTCCTGAGCCCATTTCAGATTTGCTGCCAGAAACCAAGCTAAACATAATATCACCCACCATATACCACTTGCCATGCTGAAAATGCTCAGAATTTTTTGAACTTTAAGGAATATAAGTAGAATATCTTTCGTTAAATTCGTTTATAGTAAATACAATTCATGAGAAAATTGCTAAAGTTATTCCATATAAAAATAGATCTTTAAATTACGTGACTCATTTAAAAGTATCACATTACTGTTCACTTACAACAGATCTGAATGCAGGTTTCTAAAGAAAACAGTTTTGACTGCCCATTTTAATAGCAAATTATTCTATCAATTATTGGAGCTAACAGATCCGAATTAAAAAGATTATTGATGGAACTAACCTGAAATAATAATGTGTAACTGCAACAACTGTACACGAGAAATTGTCGATACCTTGAGAAACTAGTGGACTGCTGCTAGCTGAAATAGCCGAGCAGGATATTTTATCCTCCGCAACCAAACCAATCATGTAGACGAATGATATAAACAGATAGCATACTGCCAAATAATGAATAGGTCTAACTGGATAAGGGAAACGCGCCATATCGATTGAGAATGTTAATACCGTAAAAAGTGAGCTGGCACAACATGCTACTGCCCAAGCACCTGGAAGTAAAGGCAATTTTAAAAAATCTAAGATTTCAAACAAAACTTTTCGCCACGTGTCTAGAATTTTCCATTAGGTCAATCTTACATCAAATGTTTTGTTTCTCAAGACATCAAGCAACGGTTCCTAATAACCACTCTTTTACGAAGATTCTTGGTGACAGAAATGCGACTGAAAAAAGAATGCTATAAAGTGACCAACCTGTCCAAAATCGCAAATATCGTCTTATTCGAGTATCGAAAAACATCGGCACTAGATTATCGGCAGAACACGGTAATGAGCATTGCTCTAATGTGGTGTTCGAAATTTTCAAGGAATACCTTGATTTGCTAATAACCTGCAAAAATATTAACTGGATTAAAAAACCCAATACGAAGTCATAGCACTCGTTGTGAGCAATTCATCTTACAGTAATTCATTCTTCTCACGAGTAAATTTTTTTTCAAAAAATAAGTACTAAATACTTGAATTAAATTAAACTCAAGGTAATGAAATATATTAGTATCCTTATAACTTGAATGAACTAAGGTTATATTATTCTTTTTTGTAACAAAATCAAACAGATCGATCAAATTTATTCATTTGCAGAAACATCGTTACCTGCATAGTATGCGGGCATTCAATTTGTGTAACTGGGCTTCGCGATCGCAAATGCGGTGCCTCGGTGCTCATATCCGGCTTATTTTCTCCGACGCACATACCATCCACGGGAAAACGCTCGCACGCCAACAAAGGTGGCCACTTGAAGCCAAATTTGTTCATTAAATTTTCACAACCATTTTTGGCAGATAAACAGAGATGCCGACATGGTGGTATTGGCCGTTCAAGTACAGTGCATACAGGTGCATATATGGTACAAAGGAAAAATTTCAGATCTTCGCTACATTTCACCTGAAATACTTTTTAATTTGAAAATTTCTCCAGGAAAAACCTTTCGAACTTGGAAGGCTTTCTCTCTTATTGTCTAATTCAGTGGAGTTGGAGAAAAATCATGTAGATTTCATGCGGTTTCTGTTAGTTTCTGAACAAATTACTAAATTTTACACTATTCTGCACCGTACACTAAACTATCCTATCTGCTTTTTGACATTAGTCAAGAAATCTTGATTGAAATTCACAAAATATGAGAAACTGCATTGAGGGATTGACAAATCCTATTTCCAGCATACTCCTATTTTGTGACAACAATGACTTGTTAAACTGGTGATAAAAAATATCAAAAGAATTTTCAAAAGGACTAATTCAAAGATTCAGACTTATGGCAGAAAATGAGCAGAGCATAAATGTAAATGAATGGACTCGACTTTTGCAATAACTTTATATAGTTCCCGAAAACTTCTTCAAAAAGTCACCTTAACCAAAGGCAAAAATTGATGGATCTCAAGGGATGCGTCTTCTTCTTTGGTATGTCCCAAAATATTCGGGAATAACGTCATATTATATGGTATATCCCGGCACATTTGCATTGTGATCGGGACACATTTGTCGTTTGCAGCTGCATTCTGGAAATGCCTCCATTGAGTGAAGTTCTTAAGTTCTTGGAATGTTACAACCTTCTTTTCTCATAAAACAAAAGAAATTTTAGCATAAAGTAATACGCATGGATGAATAATTAAATAAAAGGATTATTAAAGTGTAACGCTGGGATAATAAATGATTTATCCGCAAGGATTCAAGGTTTGGTGTTGGACGAAATCCGAATAACTGTAAGTTAATGCTTGATCGGTGATTTATTTAATTACATTGTTATACACGATAATTTACTTTATAATCAAAATGCTTAGGAATTAATAATAGTTTTAAGGCTCACTCTGGCCAGGAATTTGCTCACTTTCAAAGCATAGCTGAACGACAGAGAATCTATTCTTACATATGTTGTAAGTAATTAAATCAATATAATCAACAACAAATTAACAAATGTGTAATGAACCTCTATCTCATAAAAGTTGTCAATACTAAAAATAAATTGTCTCTTCTCAGCAGCTGGTCACGAAATTTATTAGACTGGAAATAATGAACGATCGTTTCATTTCTTCACTTCGCAATTTACTCTCAACGATATATTATTGCCGAACTAGAGAGTTCGACGACTGAGCGGCAACAAAGCCATCAATTTTAACGAACCATTGCAAATTTTATAAAAAAAAAAGGGAAAAAACAAAACAAAACAAATATTCTTTGCGTTCCGCAAAAACTATCCTCATTTAACAACCAATGAATGCTTTAAAGAAATAGTGCAACACTAAACCACCATGCCAGCACCTCTCTCTTAAATGATGCATACCTACCACAGTGCAGTCGTCGATCACATAGGAATTATGATGCTCATTTTACTTAAACTTTCTTTTTTCTTTTAACAGACTTAATTTTAACAACGTCGTTTTATACAGCCAGGAAATGATTAAGCATATAATGACATTTTAATAAAATCGAGAGCATTATGCTGAAATGTTGAGCTATTCCAGTGACTTTGATTAATAACACCAGAAATTAGAACGTATGTTATTGAGCATTATATTGCTGAGTTCTTCTAATTTTAGTATGATTTTTTTTTTTCGATCAAAATGCTATTAATACAGATCTGTGAAAAGTGGAAACTATCAAAAGAGGAGAAGTAACTGTCCAATGTCTTTTGCCAAAATGATGGACAAAAGAATCCTCAATTATATTTAATCCATACTGAGAAATTAAAGAAAATACAAAGTGCTGAAAAGGATGCTTATCGATTACGAAAGACAGGTGAGTCTTTT